TCCAAAGACACATTTCTTGGGATTGAGCATGACATGGTGCCGCCTGAGTGTGGCGAAAGTTTCTCGGAGGTCCGACAGATGATCTTTCTGAAGTTTAGACTTGACAATCATATCATCAATATATGCCTCGACATTTCTCCCAATCTGATCAAAGAACACAGTGTTTATCATTCGCTGGAAAGTGGCCGGGGCATTCTTAAGACCAAACGGCATGACCGTGTAACAGTATAACCCCTGATCAGTGACGAAGGCCGTCTTCTCCTGATCTTTCTCCCATAAAGGAATTTGATGGAAACCAGAGTAGGCGTCCATAAAGCTCATCAAAGCATGGCCGGATGTTGAGTCAACCAGGTTATCAATTTTAGGCAGAGGGTAACTGTCTTTGGGGCACGCCTTGTTTAAGTTTGTGTAGTCTACACACATTCGCCAGGTGCCATTCGACTTTTTAACAAGCACCACATTTGCAACCCAGTCTGGGAATTAACATTGCCGGATGAACCCTGCATCAAGTAATTTTTTAACTTCGGCGGCTGCCGCCTGACTTCTTTCTTCGCCATGGTTCCGCTTCTTCTGCCGTACCGGCTTCTTTTTCGGATCCACGGCCAGTTTATGTACCGCCATATCAGGACTAATGCCTGACATTGCATGGACTTCGAATGCAAAGATGTCCTTGTATTCTTTCAATAGTTTATGAAAGTCGTCACCCAGGTCCCTTAGAGCAGTCGTCCCAACCTTGATTGTTCTGTCAGGACGCGAGTTATCTAACATCAGGTCTGTATGCTCACCAGCTGGCTGAGGGCGGAATTCATCCGACCGCTCCTCTGCCAATGATTTCTATTTTCTGTCTTTTCTTGCGGCCCCTGTCTGGGATGCCTTTCTCTTCTTGCCGCCTGCTTCTTGAACAGGCGCACTCTCCTTGACATTGTCAAGGTCTATTTTTCCACCGCTCGACATAGTGGCCATAACAGTGGGCTTGACATCCGAGAGATAGCACTCTCGGGCCATCCTCCGATCTCCCCTTAGGGACCCGACTGTTCCATTATCCCTCTCAAACTTGAGCAACATAAGAGATGGGATTATAACAGCCTTGGAATTATTCAGGGTTGGTCATCCCAGAATCATGTTGTAGGCCGAGAGTTCTTCTACTACCAGGAACCGGACTACCATTTGTCGTCCTTCCCCTTTTTCACCCAGGCGGATGGGTAAATCCACTCGTCCAACTGGGTGGACGACTCCTCCTCCAAACTCTACTATAGGGTGGGATGCCGGATGTATGCAATCAGTCTGATATTTTAGTTTCGACAGACATTTGCTACTGATGAGATCTGAGGAGCTTCCGGTATCTATGAGGATTCGGCCAACTCTCTGGTTGGCTACTTTACATTCAATAACGATAGGGTCGTCATGCGGCCCTCTTACCCCTCCTAGATCTTCTTCAGTGATGACAATCTCAGGAAATGAATTTGGAGGGTCGTTCTTGGTGAACGGAATTTACATCTAACCGTCTGATATTGTCTTTGTTGCCCCTAATAGTGGGGCCGCCTCCTGAGAAGCCGCCTGCAATGGTGTAGACGACTGCATCATCTGTATCGGAACTGTCGGCATGTTGATTCTTTTTGGCCGACTGCTTTTTCGAGGAAGTATTCCCCGTAGATTTCTTGACATAAGTGTCAAGATCACCTTGCTCAGCCAGGCGGTCTAGATACCGCATGAGACTGATGCATTCATTGGTGTGATGACCAACATCTTCATGATAATCACAGAATTTTTCTTGGTTCCAGTTGTTTGCAGAACCCTTCATGGGGACCGGCTTCTCAATTGAGATCCGTCCCTTGATTTCCTTTAGGATAAATTGGCTATCCTTGTTAAACGCATACTTTGGGGAGTATGGTTTGAATTCTTTTTTCTTTTTCTGGGCCGGCTGTTTAGAGGTATCAGCCGCCCAGACCTCTCTTCTCTTCTCGTCTTTGTTTGACGAATGTTTCTGTCGTCCTTCTCTTTTGTCGGACCTTCTCCCGTCTGACTGTTTTACCGTACTACAAAGATCAGTCGCCTGTATATAAGCTTCCGCTTCAATCAAGGCCTCTTGAAGAGTCGCCACCCTCTTTCGGACCAAATCAAATTTGAAGGTCGATCCGTCTTTGAGACCTCTGAAAAAGTCAGTATAGGCTACTTCATCCGGTAACCCTTGAATCTGTATTCTCATCAGGTTAAACCGCCTGATGTAAGAACGAAGCCCCTCCTTCTCGCCCTGCTGAATTGTTCCTAAATCAAGGGTCGTCTTCTTCGCAGGGATGTTCATGGCGAAGTTAGAGGTGAATAAGTAAGCAAGCGTCTTGAAGTTATTTACACAACCAGTCGGCAGGTTGCCGAACAATTGTTGTGCGATTCCTTTGAGAGTCGCTGGGAAACACTTGCACCAAGTGGGATCATCCAACCCTTGAAGGTACATCAGGTTGGTGAATGCCATCAGATGGTCTTCTGGGTTAGTAGTGCCGTCATAGGCGCCTACTAATACATTTTTCACTTTGGCCGGCTGAGCGGCTTCAGTAATTTCCTTGGAGAAGGCCGACGGCTGTTCACCAAGTCTAAGCAACCGTAGCTACCAGTCCATAGGTTGGACATTTTTTGCTGCATGTCCACCAAACGGAGGTGGCTGTAAAAAATACTGTTGTTGCGGTACAAACGGTAAGTTTGGTACTGCCTGGTCGCTATGATAGCCGGACTAACGGGAGGTGCCGCCTGACTGACTCTCATGATACGACTGAGTATGCCTCATCGAGGTATTTCGCAGACTGTCTTGGAAGTTTGAAGTAGAGGCCGACTCTGACAATCGGTCACTCTTCTTCTGCTCTAGCAGTAGCCGAGCGTCTGTGTATGTTTTCCTCGACCCGTCCGCCTGAATATGACGAACAGGTTTCCTATTTCGTGGAGTAGAAAAACGGTATTTTGTGAAATCAAGGGCAGGTGGCTCCCACTTCCTAGATTTAGGATGAGGGGTCACCTCTCGCCCTTGAACTGGCTTCCTCTTCCGTGAAGTGGAGGGTTTCTTTGCCGACTGCTCCTTGTCCAGAGCAGGCGGCTTCTTGTTGATCAACTCTTGAATTTCTCCCTTGAAGTCCCTCATGAAGGTCATGAGTTCGTTCCTTGTGATGGGAGCAGACCCATCAGTCGGCTGCTGCCGAACAGGCGGTGCGCCTGTTGGCTCGCTTCCTGTATGAAGATGTTCCCGTTCCCTCCTTTCGGTATGACGGGTACGTCGGGCCCTTAGGGTCCCGTCTTAAGCTGTGTGAGCTTCAACTTCAAATTCATTCTCAGTATCGTGGTCCGACTGAACTAGAGGGTCGTCCAGGGGACGTCTCTCTTCAGGAGCCGGTACAAACGTGGATGCCATCTCAGAAGTAGTCTCCCCACAGACGGCGCCAAGATGTTTCGGGGTTTTCTGATGTCCTGCGGGAGAGTTACATTTCCGAGACTGGAACCGGGCGCCTGTACCTGCAAAACAAACGGATGCTCCGGATGATTGGAGATCCGCCTCCGACGGTCAAGTTAGTACTTGATTAAGGAGTAATTAATGCGGAAATTAAAGTGATTGGGTCTCTCTAGGTGAGAGAGTTTAATGTGTGTAATCTGCGTAATCTCCCTTAATGAGGATTAAGGGAGGTATTTATAACCTTGGGAAACGTGTCAATCTAGGTTTAGGTTAACCTTGGGCTGATTGGGCTTCCCACGGAAGTTGGGCCTAGGCGACCGGTTATCCCAGGTGTCATGGGAAGGACACGTGTCGTGTCGTAATTGGTCTATAGTGGACGGATCATTGCTTGACACGTGGCAGGCTCCTATTGGCCCATGTGACGGACACATGGCGGAACTTGATTGGTCCACTTGTCAGATGGTGATTGGTGGGGAAAAATCCCCTAATCACCTACCATAAATGACATAAATACAACTCAACAATATATAAATGAAATTCAAATTTGAATCTGATTTGAATTTTACTTGTTATAATCAACCAACACTCAAAAAGGTGAATGGCTTGACATTATCTAGAATTTGATCTGATAAAATCCTATGATGTTCATGTAGGTACCAGAGCCCAACCCCAATACTCTAACATGTACAAGTCACGAACAATTATATAAGTCAATAATGTTCGGCAATTAAAATAAAAAAAATAATTCGGTAATAGAATACTCTTTGTATATATAGGATAGAACGGTAGAACCTTAAGTGATGCAAATAGAGGATTAAAATTAATGAATCAATTTATTGATATTATTAGTTTAAGTTTTTCTTATCGATGGTGGACATTTAAAATTAAAATTAGTTATTGGCTCGAGGATCCTCCGGATCATTATAAATTTATTACTTTAATCTAACTATATATATTTTGGATTGTTTGTCATTGAGAGCTTAAGTGGTTTTTTTTTTAATTTTTTTTAAGATGATAGTTTAAGTAGTTTGCTGTATGAGTTGGTTTGACTATAAGAATAATTTTTTTGCATTAAAATCAACTCGTTGTAAGAAATTAAAAAAAAAAAAAAAATCAAAAATCAAATCTTTATAAATTTGATTTCAAAATATATACTACTCCATAATGCACAAAAAATCTTTTTCTCTATAATTACAATTTTATGAATTAATGTACAAAATAAAAATGGAGTAATGTTTAATTTCTTACAAACTTATTATTGTATAATTTTTAAGAAGTTACATTCCAAGGGAAATTGTTATGCATATGAAGAGTTTATCAATTAAACTAAACATTAATACATGAAGGTTAATGCATGGAGTTTTTCAATCATTAATAGTATGGTATGATTTAGCGACACATCATATGGTAAATGACAAAATTGATGACACATAGCAAAACATGTATTGCCATAAGTTTTAATAATATATATATTGATTGATTGATTAGTTGATGGCTCAATCAAATACGATTAAAAGGCATAGATTCGTTAATTTGGGTTTCCCAAAAAATACTCACAAGTCACAACTTCTGCCAGTTGACTTTCTAACCTTATAACATTTTCTAGACTAGAACTAGAAGTCATAGTCCTAGCATAACAAAACTAAAATGAGTTCCCAAGATAATCAAAATGACCAAGGATCATCATCAGAAAAACTATCACATGGCGTCGCCGCCGGTATTTTTCAGACCAACACCGTCATCACCACCTTCTACCGCCTAGTCAATGCCATTGGCACCTCCGAAGATACTCCTGATCTCCGCCAAAAGCTGTTCGTTTACCTCTTTTTTGTTTAAGCAATCGTTCATAATTGCTGCTGTTATAAATTATATAAATAACATAAATATCAGCAGCAATTATGAACGACTGTTATAATTATAATTGTGTAACATCCTTTTCTGTAATTATTTATTTAATTATATAATTATTGGTACATTATTCTGGTTAATACAGACATCGTACAAGGTATCATGTAATGACATTGGTAAAAGATGTTTCTGCCAAGCTCAAAACATTGAGTGATTCCGACCACGCTGCTAATGTCCCTGTAATGTCCTCGCTTTTCTCTGTATATTGAATTTTGCTAGTACTAGTTCAAAGATGGTATTGTGTAACAAGTGAGAGATAGTTTCAAAATCAATATTGTGCTATCTTTTTTCAGAAGCGCAAAAAAATTGAAGATGCTAAGCTTGCAAGAGATTTTCAAGCGAGTGTGAAAGAATTTCAGAAAGCTCAGAAACGCGCCTTGGAGCGTGAATCTTCTCACATTCTATCTGGTGCTCCTACATCTGCTGTAACAGAGTATGCTGTGAACAATTTGTTTTCTATTCCCTCTCTTTCATATTTGCTGTTAGCTAAATAGTACAATTGATTTCTTCCTGACTCTCTATCAGCTTAACCGGCGAAGAAGCAGCTCAGGACGTCGAGAGCCAACCTTTCTTAGAGAAAAAGAGGTTAGCCTTTATATTTATGATTTACTCTCATCTCCTGTTTCTGTCTGTCATTACTGTCATGAGTGTCATCACACAATATTCCGGTTAATTTATTAGTGATGATCAGGATACTTTGCATCTGAGGTATGAGAGCTCAATTATACAAGAGAGTGCCATATATCTTTTATTTCTAATACTATTCTAGACTTTTTCTTCTTGAGCAAATAATTTTCATTTGCTTGTTGGCTTCCTTTATTTCCTTGATATGTGCTGAAGCCCGAAATTGCTAAAGCTTAGAGAGTGCTCCGTCTCTATGATTGGTAATAAACTTGGAATAAATCAGGTTAGACGAATTAGAGTCCTAGTGGGGCTTCTCGATATTACATTCATTACTCAATGTAGGATGATGTAGAGCACCATAGCAGCCTGTAATTTCTTACAACTTATGAGATCGATCAATATGTGTATGTACTATTGTTTTACTCAAAACAACGGATGAATTCTCTCATTATATTATACTTGTATATAGTTGTATACTTGTATGTTAATGGATCCTGTATATGTGTAATGTATGTATGCCAGTACTATATGACTTTATTTGAGTAATGCAGATCAATATGGTTGGATGGTAAGATTGAATTTATTGAAGAAACTCTTGAGGAGAGGGAGCAGGAAAAAATCAAAGAGATGCAAAGCCGACTTGATGAAATTCTTGAATTTAATAAAGAGCTTGCTGCTCAGCTACACGAGCCGGATGTATTAATTGGTATGATTATGTAGTTCACTTATGTTTTCACTAGTTACTCTTTTTTTGTCCGTCCCTTTGCTAGACGAGATGGGATTGAATAGGACTTTAATTTGATAATATAACAAAGTAGAGAGGAAAAAGTAAGTGAAAAGATGCGAGGCCAAAAAGTCAGGTAAATTTGTCACAAACCACCTTATAACACACAATTATTTCTAATTTATGCTATTGTAGTTGCTTCATTCTTTGTGCTTGATCTCTTTATACAAATGCAGATGGTACGCATTCTAAAGCTGAAGTTTCCTCTGCTGGATCAAGTGAATCAAAACCACAGCTTTGTAGGGCTTCTAATAGTGGAAGATCATGTTCACCTTTGGTAAGAAAGTTATCTACTTTTCCTATTGAAGTTAAATAAAGATCTACTTAAAAATGTATTAGGCTTTTCTTATTATCTTACCTAAGGAATTACTAAGTATATAACAATGGTCTAATTCTATATACTGCGTGTTAAAGACAGAGTATATGAATATTACTCCAACATTATTATTACTATATATATACTTTCTTATCATTATTTTCTTGTGGCACTTAACAGTATTGGTGGTTACTGGTCTTCATCGTGATTGCAGCTATCATCGTCTTGCTTATCTTAATCCTATAGACCGCGAAAGTTCGTTGATGGATTTGCTGGAATGTGAAATCTGTAACAGGCCTATATTTCTTCCCCTTGAGATTTGAGGCCATGGGAGCTGTATACAGCAAGAAAATGGCTTGTTGTGTTTATTCGAACAGCTTGTTTTCTATGCGAGTAGAAAAAATGTGAAAGTGTCTAATTATGGTGTGCGGTGTGTTATATTTATTGGGGATGTACACACCATTGAACAGTTAATATCTTGTCACAAAAATTTACAACATTTCTTGTTTGCATATTTCAAAAGATGAAGAGTATTGTTTTTTCAAGAGAATTGTAAACGAGCGGGCTAATTACTAATACAGCAAAAGTAAATGGAGAGATTGAAAAAAGATTTTGTTTGTTAAATACATTGTATGCAAATAAATTGTTTGCACAATCAACGATGTACACGGAGTACATTAAGAAGATAGTGTCACATACAATTGGAGGCCACAAAGAAAATATACATTTTATTATCCACTACCTAAAAATTACTCTTACATTTGATTCAAATATACTCTACTATCACATCTATTACCAGTATGTCTTTTATAGAAACAGATTTTTGTTAATTTTATTGAATAATAGTCAATCTTGGGGTAATTAGAACGAGTTTAATTCTAAATTTAACCTATTTAAACAAAAACTTTTAATTCTTATTGAGTTTTTCTTTTGACAATTTGTAATGAGTTTGATTGTATTTTAATGGATATATATAATAAAAGTATTAATCTAATACGAAGTACATGTTTTTTTTTAGTAGAATTTATGTTTAAAAAAAATGGTAACTATTAATACTCTCTCCGTTCCTTAATTAAGAACCTATTTGGGTTTTTTTCACAAGAATTAGAAAGCTGGTGGAAGTACATAAGTGCATGTGGGGTTAGAGAGAGATAGAGAGAAAAAAATTAGTTGGGAATAATTGAAGAGAGGGAGAGAGAAAGTGTTGAAAATTGATGTAAAAAATTATCATTAGTACAAAAAAAGTGATGACAACTCATCAAAAAGTGGAGAATATTATCAAATAATACAACCTTAAAATAGAAATAGGTTCTTAATTTTGAACTCCCAAAAGGAGTACAATCTCTTAATAAAGGGACATAGGGAGTAGTATATAAGGGCGAGACCTCTTTTTTCACCTTAAAAAAAAGGGGAAATTTTCAGTGGTAACCCTTGATTTGGGTATTTTTACCCAAGCCACGTGGTCCAATAAGAGCGTGACACATGTCACCATAGGAAGTGTCCAAACAGGGCCACCCAGGACATGACACGTGGCATGCAGGTATTGAAAGAAATTGGCGGCCTTCAATTTCAGAATGCTTGGGTGCATAAACAATTTCAGAATGCTTGCGTTCCTATTCGTCTCTAACTTTTCCATGAACATACCAGCCAAGAAGACAAGCATCGACTTGAGCACGGTTGTTCAGGGAGGGGCTCTGTTCTTACGTCAGGTGATTCAATCTTGTGAGAATTCAGATCCAAGGACTGTCTGATGAAGGTGATTTCACAAACTTTATCAAAGGTCTAAAGGATGGGTCACAATTCAAGTTTGACCTCGTACGGAAGAGAATCTTCACTCTTCCAGAGGCTTTGAGGGAGGCAGAGGCCTATATACAAGCGGCAGAACTCTGCTCCTTAAGCAAACAGTCGGACTCAAAGAGGTCTGAGAAACAGAAAGGGAGTCGACAAGATCAGCTGACTCGGAAAAATGAAGAGAATAAAAAGAGAAAAGATGTATGGGCGGTCGACGACTCCGGTCAACCATACAAAAAGAAAAAGAAAGAGGTTAAGTCGTACGTCCCTAGGTACGAGTTTAACAAGGACTGTTATTCCATCCTCATGGAAATCAAAGACCGAGTGAGCTTTGAAAAGCCCTCGGCAATGAAGGGTCCCGCCAAAAATCGAGACAAGAGCAAGTATTGTCACTTCCATGAGGACATTAGCCATGAAACCATTAATTGTTATAGCCTCAAGCGGTTTCTTGATAGATTGGCTGATAAAGGAGTACTGAAGTCCTACATTCTCAAGTCTAAGGTGACCTTGAAGACGGACCCTAGGTAGCCGTCCAAAAAGCCAGCAAAAGCTGATTGTGGTTCGAACACAGATCCGGACATGATCTGCACTATTGCAGGCGGCTTTGCCTCCGATGGTCCAACTATCAGAGACACCAAGGACCATTGATGAGTGTCAGTTATGGTACTCAAATGGCGATATTTTGAGAGGTTTTTTTTTTTTTTTTTATCTCTTTTATAGATTTCTTTCTATTTTCTCTCTTAGTTTTGCCCTTTTACTCTCTAATTTATCTCTATCTTGCTTATCTTACCTTTCTTCTATTTCTCATAGATTTTATCGTCTTTTCTCTTTTATTTATTTGTTCTCCTTTCTTTGTTTGTAGGTATAAGGTGGATTCCAAGACCCTTCATGATGATTTCTCGGGTTAGAGGATGCTAAAAGTGCAAGGTGGAAGCTCTCACATAACTCACAAGGCAAGTAACGACTAGCTTCAAGATTTGGTGATTATACTCACGAGCTGCGCTCGCATGAAACCTTGGTGTTGAACCCACCGTAAACTCCATTTTGGGACTTCCATATCTAGTGACGATCAAGATGAGCGCACCACCTACATCGAAGAGCGCACAAAGGATATCCCCTGCTCTAGAGGCGCGGGTGCGCCGCCCCCCTACGCGGGCACGCCACCTGGGATCCCTGTTCCGTACCCCGATCTTCGCGGGCGTGCATTCTCGTGAGAGGGCGCGCCCGTACGGGATCATTTTTGGATGTCTTCCTTATTTCATCTTAGTTAGTTATACTATAAATAGCTTTTCCTTCTATTTTTGAAGAACAACTAGAACAATTAGAATTAGACTTGAACTTCCATTTTTGTACTAGATTTTAGAGAGAGAAATTGGTGATTTCTACATTTGATCTTCTTCTACTTTGAATGCAAGCACAATTCCTTTGATTTCAACAAAGTTTGTAAGATTCTTCTTCTTCTTCTTCTTAATTCAATCTCTTTGCATTTGATTTTCATTAGTGTTGCAATTTCAAGTTTATTGATTGATTTGATCTTGATTAGTTTGTTTAGCAATGATAATGATGAATTTAATTTGATGATTAGTTTAGTTTGCTTCGAAATGTAGAGCCTTAAAATCACTTTCGAACCAAGGAAGGCAGTGAAAGGACAGGCGATCATTGACTTCAATTCATTGTTGAAATGACACGCCCGGTAGAGCCGAAAAATTTGAATCAAGTTTGGAAAGTATATGTAGACGGGAGCTCTACTATGAACGGCTGTGGTGCAGGGATTATATGTCAGTCTCCTGAAGGAGACAAATATGAATATGCATTGCGGTTTAAGTTTAAGCCTCAAACAACAAGGTCGAGTATAAAGCCCTGCTAGCTGGTATACGCATGTGTAAGGCGGCAGGGGCAAAGAAAATTGACGCCTGCTCCGATTCACAGTTGGTTGTTAGCCAATATCATGGTGACTGTGAGGACACCCATCCGGCTATGATCAAATATTTGCAGGCGGTCAGAACAGAGGCTGGGACGCTTGAGTCAAGTACCCCGGTCAGAGAACAATCAGGCGGATGCTCTGTCAAAACTGGCATCATCCGCCTCCTGTGATACACCTCAGTCAGTCTTTTGGGAAGTGATGGAAAAACGAAGTATCGAAGAAGATCCCATTGGCGTGCTAGACCGAAGTTCAACCTGGATGGACGTCATCTGGGCCTACCTGCTAGACGACACTCTGCCGGATACATATCTAGAAATGGTCGCAATGAAAAAGCGTGCGTCCAACTTTGAAATTCGCAATGGAGAGCTATTAAAAAAGGGCTTCATGTTGCTTCTTTCTAAATGCATCACCCTAGAAAGGGGGCATGAAATTCTGGAAGACATACACTCAGGCTACTACACCTCACATATAGGCAGAAGATCGAGCTCTAGCAGAGAGGGCTAGGCAGCAAGGCTATTTCTGGCTGACCTTGGAAGCAGACACCATGGAAATGGTGAAGAAGTGTGACAAATGCCAAAGGTTTGGCAAGCTTATACTCCGTCTCGCAACTAATCTGACGGCAATTCATAGCCCAGTGCCATCCGCCAAATGGGGCATGGATATCTTAGGTCCGTATACACCTGCGTCAAGCCAGAGGCGGTAAATTCTAGTGGATGTTGATTACTTCACCAAATAGGTTGAGGCAGAGGCGGTTAGAGGCATAAAGACAAAGGATGTCATCTCTTTCATTTGGAAAAACATCATCACCCAGTATGGGGTTCTTATGTTTATGGTCATTGACAATGGCCCTCAATTTGAGACACTTACCCTCAAGAATTGGCTAGGATATCAAGGAATCTCTCACTGTTTTGCATCAATCGGTCGACCCAAAGCAAACGACCAGGTTGAAGCCTTCAACAAGCTAATCTCAGACGGCATAAAAAGAAAATTGAAAGAGTCTGGCGGTCTATGGGCTAAAGCGTTAATTCATGTGCTCTGGTCCATCAGAACAACAGCAAAAGAGGCAACCGGCGAAACCCCATTCTTCATGGTATACGGTGCTAAAGCCGTTTTACCTATTGAGCTTTATGAGCCGACTCTTCGAGTCATGTTGTATGATGAAGAGGCTTACTAGAAGGCCATGCGGCTGGCATTGGATTCTTTTCTAGAACGCTGGGGTAATGTCGCCTTACGTCATGAGATCTACCGTCTGAGAATGACAAGAGCCTACAACAAAAAAGTACACAACAACCCTTGAAAGTAGGGGACTTTGTGTTACGCAAAATAGAGGCAACCGGTAGGGCCAATGCGCAAGGCAAATTGACACCCAATTGGGAAGGCTCCTACCGGATTTATGAAGAAGTCAGAGGCGACATCTACCGTCTAGAAACAATAGACGGTAGGAAGCTAGCCAGAACTTGGAATATAGACAACTTAAAAAAGCACTACTTTTGAGACTTGTAAAAATTTTGTAACCAAATGGCTTAGTAATGAGAATTGCTTTTTGTTTCAACTTGATTCTTATTTTTCATACAGCTGAACCGTCTATGCTATGTGCGAACGACCAACAAATTAGATACACCTCCATATGGGAGCATCGCCTGCGCAATGTACAAATGGTAAATCTAAACCAACCGTCCACTCTGATAGAGTGAGACATTCGGCAACATCCATCCGGGTGACTTCGTTTACAGAGAGCATCTCCCATTTGAGTGGCACATTGCTCTATAACCTCATACAATAAATGGCTCAACCGACTGCCTTAATAAGGACTAGTTCATAGCCGTTTGTTTTTGCAAAATCTAACGTGTGACCAAGATAGCTTAATTAACCCCTTG